ATGTGTGTTGGATTTTATGAAATTCCTTTGCAATTCCAATTGATATGCTCATGTGACTTTTCTTCATTCACCCACTGATGTGGCAGATTACAGTGACTGGTTTTTGAATACTGAACCAACCTTGAACATACGGAATAAATACCACTTGGTTATCATGTGAAAATCTTTTCATGCATTGTTTACTTCTATTTTTATTGAAGATTTTGTTATCAAATATGCATATATGTGAAAAAATTGGCTCTATAGTTTTCCTTTCTTCTAATGCCTTTTTCTGGTTTTGGTATGAGGGTAGTGCTGGTCACATAGGAATTAGGAGAATTCCTTATACTTCTATTTTCTGAAAGAGATTTGGTAACCTGGTATTATTTCTTCCCTAAATGTTAGAATTTACTGATGAAGCCATCTGTATATGGTCTTTTCTTGGTTTGGGAAGATTATTAATCACTGATTATTTTTAAGTAGATATAGGGCTATTGAGGTTATCTTTTTCCCCTTGTGTGAGTTTTGGAAGTTTGAGTGTTTCAAGAATTGGACCATCTCATTTAAGTTATTAATGGTGGCTGAGGAGTTGTCCATAGCATTCCTTCACCACACTTTTTTAATGTCCACTGGATGAGTAGTGATGGGTCTTGTTTAACTCCTGATATTGCTGATTTGTGCATTCCCCTTTTTTCTTAGTTAACCTCATTAGAAGTTTATTAGCTAACGATCTTTGTCAAAGAACCAACATGCAATTTTGGAGATTTTCTCTAAGGTTGTTCTGTTATCTATTTCATTGATTTCTGCTTTGAGGCTTATTATTTCTTGTCTTCAGCTAGTTTTGCTTTAAACTGCTCTTCTTTGTCTAGTTTCCTAATGTGGGAAGCTTGAGTTATTGATTTTATATCTTTCTTCTTTTCTAATGCATGCCTTTCACATTATATATCTTGCTGTAAATACTGCTTGCACCCCACAAATTTGATAAATTTCATTTAGTTCAGAATAGTTTTCTAATTTTCTGTATCTTTATGTTTTTTGTTTGTTTTTGTACCTTTATGAAATATAATTATTCAATCTTCAAATTAATATTACAATTTTTGTTTTTGTTTTTGTATCTTTATGAAAGATAATTATTCAATCTTCAAATTAATATTATACAAATTCATCATTTTTGCTGCTTTAGAGAACAAAAGAAATGTGCCTACATTCTCCAAAGGGAGTATAATGGTATTTTCCCTCCTCCCCACTATTTAGAAGGATAGTAATTCTTCTAATTTTTAAGCCCAAGTTAAGTTTCAAGAACATTTCATTTTTATTTTTTTTTATTTTTTTTATTTATTTATTTTTTTTGACAGGCAGAGTGGACAGAGAGAGAGAGAGACAGAGAGAAAGGTCTTCCTTTGCCGTTGGTTCACCCTCCAATGGCCGCCGCGGCTGGCGCGCTGCGGCCAGTGCACCGCGCTGATCCGATGGCAGGAGCCAGGAGCCAGGTGCTTTTCCTGCTCTCCCATGGGGTGCAGGGCCCAAGCACCTGGGCCATCCTCCACTGCACTCCCTGGCCACAGCAGAGAGCTGGCCTGGAAGAGGGGCAACCGGGACAGAATCCGGCACCCCAACCGGGACTAGAACCCGGTGTGCCGGCGCCGCAAGGCGGAGGATTAGCCTACTGAGCCGCGGCGCCGGCCCTCAAGAACATTTCAAAAAAACTGTTTGGTGACAATGTCTCAACAAAAAGCCTCTCTATATCTCAAAAGCTTCAAGTAGTGTCAATAAACTAACTAGTTTAAAAAAAACTGATATCCACTGCATTTTTAAAGGCCTTTTGGGCTGTATTTAGTTGTCCGCAGGCTGCTGGTGTATCTTGCGAGGGGTCAAATGGCACTGGGGAAGGGGAAAAGGCATTTGCTTTCCATTCTTGTATGCACGTAACAAGCGATAAAACAGCAAAGTCACTCCAGTTAGCTTGTCCTCAGCTGTGCTTTCTGCCAGCACAAGTCCATTTAATGAATTCTGAAGATCTGGAATATCTGAACCTAGGAAAGGATTTATGTTTTCCTGCTGCGAACTCCAAATGACTGGGCTCCAATTACCTTTCAAAATACCAGTGCACTTCCACTTGTCCATATCCGTACTATCAGCTTTCCACAATCACACACAGCCACATCTCCTGAAGATGCTAGCACTGTTCCTGCTATATTCCAGCTCACGCACCAGACTTGAGAGAATCGTGGCTATCAAACTGAGCCACTATATAGATATAAAATTTTGTTGGTGCACCACATGAGGTAAGTTCTTTCCTCAAAAGTTTTAGTGTAAAAATCCTCACGTCTTTGGCTGCTATTGCTGGAATATGGAAAGATCTCCCCAAGTCTGGAGTAAATGCAATATCAAGTACTGGATCAGTGAGTGTCATGAGACTTTCAGCTTTTGCATATTTCCTGGTATCTTCATTATATTCAAAAATCTGAGCTTTGGCCACTGCACTTGGATTACTGTCATCACTTCCTACAGCTATCATGGGAGAAGGAGCAGAAGAGCTTGAAGAGTTCCAAGAGATACAAATACAGCTTAGCTTGAGGGGTTCCAAGAGATACAACTACAGCCTAGCTTGAAGGGTTCCAAGAGTTACAACTACAGCTTAGTTTCTGTGAGATCTCCCGCTGCAGGGACCACTGGCCGAGACTCCTAACATCTGAGGCCCTCCCATCTCCTCACTACACCCTACACCATCTGCTGAACAAGTCGCTAACGTTAGACCGTACACTTAGGAGCAAACTTCACATCAGATGTGCTGCTATCCACTAGCGCTGTCCTCTGAACCCAGGGACTCTGTTCTCGCAGTTTACCATTTGCCTCCACCCACGCAGCAGCTGCAAAGAACAACAAGCCAAAGCCTGTGCAAACTCAGGACGGGCCCGAGTCACGTGCCATGCAGCTCCACTCTGTGCATTCCTGCTAGTGGTACAATGCCATTCCTCACCTCCACTTTTATCCCTGACCTTGACGCTCTAGTTGCAGGAGCCGGTCACCACCCACCGGCCACTGAACCTGACAGAGCCATCCAGCTGAGATCCGTGCGGCCACAGACATGGCTGCTGCCACAGACATGACTGCCGCCACAGGCGCTTCCACCAGACACCCCCACCCACAGCTGTGGCGCAAGGCTTGCCGGGACCCCGCCCTTCTCATTCGCTTGCAGGCTGCTTCTGGGTTATTTATAAGTGTGTTGCTAACAGGAGTCACTGTGCACTTACTCCCCATGTAGGATCTCTGTTCTTAACGTGTTATACTATGCGAATTAACAGTAAAACTAGTCTTCAAACAATGCTTTACACTTTGTGTGTCTGTGTGGGTACAAACTGTTGAAATCTTTACTTAGTATACTAAGTTGATCTTCTGTATATAAAGATAATTGAAAGTGAATCTTAATGAAGAATGGGATGGGAGAGGGAATAGAAGATGGGATGGTTTGCAGGTGGGAGGGTGGTTATGGGAGGGGGGGGGAATTGCTATAATCCAAAAGTTATACTTTGTAGATTTATATTTATTAAATAAAAGTTTTCTTAAAAGAAAAAAGAAGTGTGTTGCTTAATCCCAAAGAGTTGGGGATTTTTCCACATATCGTCCTGTCACTGATTTCTGGCTTAATTCCTTCATGGTGTGACAACATACTTTTTTTTTTTTTTACAATTTCTATTCTTTTAAATTTGCCAAATTGTGTTCTTTGGGCCAGAATTTGCCCAAACTGCAGAATGCTCTGTGTGAGATTGAGAAGACTACGGATTCTCTTGCTGCTGAAGCCTCATGAATAAGTCTTATATCTAAACACTATTAGAGAACTATTCTATAAAAAAATACTATATGGGCTTATCCTAAATTTTCCACATACTAGGGCTAGGTGTAAAGGCAAGAGAATAGGCAGCATCTAAAACTGAATACTTTATTCACTCATTCAGGAGATGACTTAATACACACCACATCTTAATAAATATTTACAAATGAATTGTTCTGTGTCTAACTTTAGATAGCCTTTATGCTCTTGCAATTTGATGCTAACTAGAAATTGAGCAGATACGATATTCTATATGCGAATTCATATGCAAGGAATACACTCAAAGTAATTTTTTCTATAATTATGATTACAATTGAAAGGATGAAAGCCTCCGTGCCAGGTTTTCTAAAAGATGTAAGGGCAATGCTTGCCAAATGCAAAGAGGAAGACATTTCACTTTAAGTCTCCTAAGAGATTATTAAAAATAACATTTTATAAAAACTACTTCTAAGGGCACTTGAAATTTTTCATTATAGGACACCAGCTTCTAATTTAAACATAATTGAAGAGACGACACTGGCAATAAATTACAAAGGAACAGAAGTAAGAGCAGATGCCACTGACGGTTGGTTTCTACAGCTCTCTTTCTGGATACTACGAGTTAATGAGACTCCAGACAGGAGGTTCGCATTTTCCAGCCACTCCCTTGATGCCAAAATTCCACTTTACATAATTTAGCAACATCCACCCAAGAAAATCCACAACAATTGAATAAATAAGAGCTGAAAAGTAATGTAGAAAAGTCAACTAACACAACTCTAAACAACTCAACCAAACACAATGAACTCATCAACTAGGCTCTAGTAGAACTGTACCCAAACCAGGCCAAAGGTGACACCCACTCTTGGTTCTAAATATCACCATGATCCAGGGTGCTGAAACTCTGACTATATTGATTCTAAATTAGTGATGCTTTCTGAAACTTCTTCTTTATGTCCTATCCCAACTCTTTCTATTATAACTTAAGTTAATCAACTATTAGTGCAGCTTTGACAACCACATAATTTCCATTTCAGTAATATGTTTGAATAGAACTAATTCTGGGCAATTACTCATGTGAATAGGAATCAAGAGAAGGGTCACGTAATGCAGTTTTGGTTTTCAGTCCAACTAGTGGAGTTTGCTAAGAATAAGAAAATTTTGAAATCACAGCCTAATTCTTAAGTGTAGTAATTTTTTAGAAAATTACCTTTTGTTGAATCATCCTCTATTGGCTGTTTGAACAATGTAATGTCCTTGAAAGTGCACAGGAACAATACCACTTTTTCATGTTCATTTCTTATTGGTGCAATTTGCATATAAAACCAAACAGGGGTTCCTGTAACAGAGAGAAAGAAAGAGAAAAAAAGAACAATAGAGTGTGACATGGCCACAGCAAATGTTTCTCCTCTCGCCTTTCCCTTCCTTCAGCCCTTTTGCCAGGAAGCAGAAACAAAACAACCCTCTTTTAGTTGCTACAAAAAAAATTTAAAAAAAAAAAACCTTTAATTTTGTATCAACCAGTTCAAATGCAATAGATGTACTTTTAACCAAAAAATGTCAAAATTGTTCATCTGCAATAAATATGTGTTTTAACCAAAAAATGTCAAAAATGAAATAGAGGGCTATTTCACAGTGCAGGAACACAATGACAGTCTTACCACTTAAGTCATGCCAACATCACCTTTAGGCCTGGGTCCCTAAACCACTGTTGCATTCACCATGTCCCTTTTGATAATCTCCCCAAGTATGATCATTCCTACATGCATCGCTCGTCCTGCTGTCACTTTGACAAGTGTTTCCCATTCACTGAAACAGCAGTACCTGATGCTCTGAGAAACAGTCCTCTTGGAAGAACATCAGAAATGCTATTTTCTATCCCAAGGCTTGTTCATCAGTCAGACAGACCTGTATGCTGGTCCTATAGCTTTGACTACATCCCCAAATCAGAGTGAGAGAGAGGGGCGGGGGGACATCAACTGCACATGAGGCCTGCTGTATACCTGAAACTAATCCGGAAAAAGCGAGAGAGAGAAATAGAGAGAGGAGAGGGAGAGAGAGAGAGGTTCATAGTCCTCAAGTGTCTCGGGCACTTTCAAGAACCACTGCTTCCTCCCCTCCACCTCAAAGCATGAAGCTAGGCTCTTGGCACATGCTTCAAAGAATGGATACTATAGACTCTAGAGAAGAGAGGGTTTCAGTGCATTCAAGTCTTAATATTTGGAGCAGCCAAGACCCAGCATATTCAAATAATAAATATGTGAAGGCACAAGAAATGCTATCAAAGGAATAAGTATCCATTAAATGCTAAGACAGAGAAGGAATGTTCCACCTGAATCAAGACACATTTTCTATGTTTTCTCTCAGCCAGTAAAGCCTCTCCAAATGGTCCATTTGAAAGACAAAGGTTGTTGTTGCTGTTTATTGGTTTGTTTCTGTTGGTCTGTTGGTTTGTTTTTCAGGTCTAAGACTTGGGGAGTAAAATAGGCAGTTGTTGAAAGTGTGTCAGCCAGCGCCACGGCTCACTAGGCTAATCCTCCACCTTGCGGCGCCGGCAAACCAGGTTCTAGTCCCGGTCGGGGCGCCAGATTCTGTCCCAGTTGCCCCTCTTCCAGGCCACCTCTCTGCTGTGGCCCCGGAGTGCAGTGGAGGATGGCCCAGGTGCTTGGGCCCTGCACCCCATGGGAGACCAGGAGAAGCACCTGGCTCCTGGCTTCCGATCAGCGCGGTGCACTGGCCGCAGCGCACCGGCCGCGGTGGCCATTGGAGGGTGAACCAATGGTAAAAGGAAGACCTTTCTCTCTGTCTCTCTCTCTCACTGTCCACTCTGCCTGTCAAAAAAAAAAAGAAGTGTGTCCGTGAGAGCTGTGGACTCTTCCTGGCTGCCAAAGAAAACCAATTAAGAAGCAACTCCTTAACCATAACCGTGGCTTAAAAAAAATATATCACCTAGTGCCACCACAAATGGGAATTTGTCCTTCAGAAAAGATGAGGTGGCTTAACACCCAGGTCCAAGAGGTCAGAGAACTGGATGGAGATTTCCATGGGAACATTCAGCTTTGACAGCCCCGTCCTTTGCCACCCCAGCGGGACCACGGAAGGACACAGCCCTTTCCAAAAGGATCGCAGGATAAGACAGGACCTACAAACCAATCACAGCATCTCCCACAGAGGCTTCCCCTTGTCTTCTGTTTCTTATTTTACACAGCGTGTCTAGGAACCCTGAGTGATGTGCACAGTTCTACAAATCACCAGACCCAGACGATCGTGGGTGCAGTCCAGGGCTGCTCCAACACAGTGAGCCCGAGGCAGTGGGATCCGACACAAAGAGAAAAGGGGCATTAGAAACAAGCCGTTTTCCAAGGTCTGCTGGAAATCGGAACAGAAAGAGACGGTGTTCCATTTCATGCCCTCCTATGAAAACAGCGACTTTTCAAATTCTGGGAGAGTCAGGGCTGTCATTAAAGATGTTTTCAAATATCAAAGCAGATTTCCTTTTTTTTTTTTTTTTTACAAGTTTTCAAGTCACAACACCAGATCTGCCCAAGTAGGCTGCATGCTTACCAAGCAGATGGTGAAATTCCTTCCTGGTCTGGATTTGGGTCTCAGGGACATAGGGAGTCTGGGGTGGGATAGACAGAGCTGCTGTCACCAGAAACCCAGAGCAGTGCCCCGACATTGATGGTGGGGGGTAGCCCAGCTGTCACATTGCCATCTTGGTGTACCGAAAAGGAGCCATTGAAAATAGTTGTCTCAGAGCTGCCATCTCCTTCCCCACTGTAGACAGAGTCCCCTACTATTCAGCATATTGGATCTAAAGAATAGAGGCCACCAACTAAAACGTCAACTGTGACACATATTGAATCAGATACCTCAATTCCCCCATCTTCAAAATGGTGTTTAGCCCAATTACTTAATGGAGAGGTTGGGAGGACCTGGCATTCAGGTATTTCATAAATAATTCTCTACAGACATGAATTTTTCCACAATAAAAAGTCACAAGGGAGCAGGCATTGGTTTAGTTGTTATCATGTCACATCCCATGTCAAAGTACCTGACTTTCAGTCCTGGCTCTGGCTATAGACTCCAGGTTCCTGCTAATGCAGACCCTGGGAGGCAGTGGTGATGGCTCTGGTTCCTGCCGCCCATGTAGGGGACCTGTGTTGGGTTCCAGAGTCTAGCATTTGGCATCAGCCCAACCCCAGTCATTGCAGTCATATAAGTAAACAATGGTCCCTCTCTCTCTCTCTCTCTCTCTCGTCTCTCAAATGATTTTTTTTAAAAAATATTTATTTATTTTATAGATTTATTTATATATTTGAAAGGCAGAATTGCAGAGAGAGAGACAGAGAGAGAGAGAGAGGTCTTCCATATGCTGGTTCACTCTCCAAATGGCCACAACAGCTGGAGCTGGGCCAATTCAAAGCCAGGAGCCAGGAGTTTCTTCTGGATCTCACACGTGAGTGCAGGGACCCAAGGGCTTGGATCATCTTTCACTGCTTTTCCAGGCCATAGCAGAGAGCTGGATCAGAAGTGGAGCAACCAGGACTCAAACCAGCACCCATATGGGATGCCAGCACAGCAGGTGGCAGCTTTTCCTACTACACCACAGTGCTGACCCTTCAAGTGAAGTTTTTTAAAGTCATGAGAAGATACTTTTTCAGAAAATGCTCAAAAAACCTTCGGCAAACTAATTTACAAGATTTTAAAGCTGCTTGTATATAGTAGAACTCTGTTCTAAGACACGAGTAATACCTAACCTTTATATTAAAACAGAAAACAAAAGCAAAATCAATGTAAATAGTACACATAGAGAAGACATGAGTTTTAATCCACAGTGTTATGGGAAAACTTTATGAGCCACAAGCAGACATCTGTACATATGCAGACAGACAACTGGACAGTACTGCAAAGACCAGGACAGTCCAGAGCAAAGGCCAGGTACAAGACCAATCTATTCAGACTTCTGAAAGTAGCGAATTCAGGGCTGGCGCTGTGGTGCAGCAGGTAAAGCCACTTCCTGCAGTGACAGCATCCCATATGGGCGCTGGTTCAAGTCCTAGCTGCTCCACTTCCGATCCAGCTCTCTCTGCTATGGCTTGGGTGGATGGGAGATCTCTCTCTCTCTCTCTGCCTCTGCCTCTCTGTAACTCTGCCAAATAAATTAATTAATTAAAAAAAACATATGGAAAAGGAGTTTTTGTCATATAGCTCTCCTCACAGTTTATCAACATCTTTTTGGACTTGGTGAGAAAGACTCAGCATTTACAACCTGCCTTTCTTTGTGAGGAAGAGAGAGCTGGCTATTCAGAATGGATTGCTTTCTAGATGACAAGCCAACAGACATGTGGCTATGACTGCAAACAAATAGCCCTTTGGCCTTGATTCTAAAATGAAAGATGACACGTCGTTCCTTAGGTAAAATCACTGCAGACAAATGTACCCATTGTCAAGTGCATTGTTCTGAAGCAATGCCTACAGTTGTTTTATCCCTTTGTTAGTCTATTAATAAAAAAAAGAAATCTAATTTTAACTCCAAGTATTCCATAGAGAACAAATGTTTGAGGAAAACATAGATGATAAATTACATTGCACAAGAACCAACAGGCACTGAATGTGAAACAAATGTCCTCTATTGAAACTAGAATATTTCTCAAAGATGAAAAGATAGGTAACTATCAATTTCCACTGAAGATAATAAGGGATGCTGTGATCACTTACGATTAATACTAAAATAACTAAGCCATCTTATTAAATTGTTGTTCATTAAAATAGAGATAAAGAGGGTGAAGAAGGGAGGAGGGAAAGGCAATGGTGATTATGCAAAAAAAACCCAAACTGGAAAGGGAATCTGATGGTTGGTTTTTTTGATTGCTCATTTTTTTCCCCTCCAAATTCTGATAGAGAATCTTTAAAAATAGGTCTTGTGTGACAGACATTTGGGGGATTTGTTTTGTTTTGTTTTTTATTAGTTTTACTTATTTGAAAGTCAGAGTGACAGAGAACATCTATCCTCTGGGCCCCTCCACAAACTCCTGAAACAGCCAGGGCTGGGCCAGGCCAACAGCAGGGCCTGGTCAATCAATTTGGTTCTCCCACATAGATAGCCAGGACCCAACCATTTGAGCCATCACTGGCTGCCTCCCAGGGTGCACACGAAGGAAGCTGGGTCAGAAGCAGAGCGGGACTCTGTCCTGTGTACTCCAGTGTGGAATATGAGCACCCCAAGTGGCAGCCTAAAATGCTGCGCTGCAACTCCTGTCCTCATAATGGACAACTGGACCATGTACACCTCCTGTCCTCGTAATGGACAACTGGACCATGTACAACTCCTGTCCTCGTAATGGACGACTGGACCATGTACAACTCCTGTCCTCATAATGGACGACTGGACCATGTACAACTCCTGTCCTCGTAATGGACGACTGGACCATGTACAACTCCTGTCCTCGTAATGGACGACTGGACCATGTACAACTCCTGTCCTCGTAATGGACGACTGGACCATGTACAACTCCTGTCCTCGTAATGGACAACTGGACCATGTACAACTCCTGTCCTCATAATGGACAACTGGACCATGTACAACTCTTGTGCTACAGCAACTCCTGTCCTCATAATGGACAACTGGACCATTTACAACTTCTGTCCTCATAATGGACAACTGGACCATGTACATCTCCTGTCCTCATAATGGACAACTGGGCCATGTACAACTCCTGTCCTCATAATGGACAACTGGACCATGTACAACTCTTGTGCTACAGCACAATCACAACAGTCAATACAGATTTACCAGATGATGTTCTGAGAATAATGATTACTTACACTAAAGAAACTGTCTACCAAAAGGCTACATTAGTAAAGAGTCACTTCAAGTACCTCCCACGTAGTCACATCATCTGCATTCATGCAGAAAGATAATGGCAAATACTCACTGCTACAAATCATTTTAGCTTTTACCCATGAGAAGAAACCCATTTGTCACTTTAGCTATTGTTGCAAAACTATAGGTTCTTTTTGAAGAATATTGATGACAAAATATTTGGTGACTGACACAAAAAGAATTACATTTAGAGGCGACTTACAGGCATAGGGAAAACATCTGCAAGCCATATTCCAACAAAGGGTTAATATCCAAACTCTCAAGGAGTTCTATAGAAAGGAGATTTCCAAATGAGCAAGGAATCTGAGTAGACATTTGTCAACAGAAGCAATATAAATGGCCAACAAGTACCAACAAAATTCAGCATCGTCATTCTTTAGGGAAATGCAAAATTAACACTCCAAAGCAATAGCACCTCACTCATCTCAAAATGGCTATTATCAAGATGGAAGATAAGCTTTGGTGAGAATGCGGAGTGAGCAGAACCCTTGTATAGTGTTGCTGGGGCTGTAAATTAGAACAATTATTAGGGAAAACTATGGAGGAACCTAAAACAGCTAATTCTAGAATTCCCACATGATCCAGCTATCCCACTGCTGTGTGTTGGCCCTAGAGATTGAAATAAGAATGTTGAAGAGACGTGTGTACTCCAGTTCACTACTTACAACAGCCAGGACCTGGAACCAGCTGCAGTGTCCATCAACAAATGAATGGAGAAACAAAAATGTGGCACACACTTAATAGAACACCATTCTCCTTCAAAAAGAAAGGAACCTCATCATTTGTCACAACCTAGATAGAACTGGGCAATATTATGCTGGGTGAAATAAGCCAGGCACATCAAGAAAAATACTGCATGTGCTCACACAGAAGTGGAATTTGAAACAAGCGAACTTGTAGAAGCAGAAAGTGGAATGATGGCTCACCGAGGCTTAGAGGGATGGGAAGACGATGGGCACAGGGTACAAAGCCTAAGTTAAACAAGAGGAATTAGCCATTGGTCTCGATCTATCACACAGCATAGTGAATATAACTAATAATGGTGTATGGTACATTTTAAAGTTGCTAAGAGAGTAAATTAAAAATGTCCTCAAAACAAAAACGATAACTATATGAGGTGCTGGATATGTTAATTAGCTTGACTTAATTATTCCTCATTGTATTCTTGAATCATAACATCACACAAGTACAATTTACCAGTTTACAATAAGAAATTAACAAAATAAAATCCAATGGACCATATTTGCCTTCCATTCCTCAAAAGGTGGCTTTTCCCAGGCAGAATCTTGTGTTAATTATTCTGTTATCTAATTTCAGCAGCAGCCCCTACCCCTGCCAAGGAAAGGAGCCGCAGAAGTTGTAGCTCAACTCCCATTCACCAAAACATCACATCAATAGACAGCCGGCTCGCCGTATTCATAACTGAGATACCTACTGTTTTTTTTGTACAGAAGAACTTCAAAACAGTTTGACTCGTAGTTGTCAAAGGTTTTCCTGACTTTCTCAACAGTCTTCTTGTCAGTCAGTTCCCCATACATAAAACTGGAAAAAACAAGCAAACATGCACTTCAGTTCTGCGTGCTTTCCACATGCTGCCTATAACCACAGATGTCTCGGATCAAGATTGCAAATACGGCTGTAAAATGCAATATTGCTTCCACAGAAGGTACTGAAATATTTAAACCACGTTTCAGGCTTTTTTCTAAATAAATGTTATTGTGTTTATTAGAGATTTACAACCTAATGTTATGGGACACATTAAAGGTAGCAAAAGAAGTTATTTCGTATACGAATGAAGGAAGGGAGAGAGGGAAGGAGGGAGGAAGAAAGAAGGGAGGAAGAGAAAGAAAAAAGAGTACCTCTGCTTCCAATTCAGCTCCCGCTAATGCGCCTGGGAAAACAGCAAAGGATGGCCCCTGCATCCACGTGGGACACTTGGATGAAGCTCCTGACTCCTGGCTGCAGCCTGGCCCAGCCCCAGCCTGGCCCAACCCCAGCCCTGCAGCCATTTGGGGAGTGAATCAGTGGATGGAAGACCTCTCTCTTTTTCTCCTTCTCTTTCTCTTTCTTTCTCTTTCTCTCTCTCTCTCTGTACCTTTTTTTTAAGATTTTATTTATTTATTTGAAAGTCAGAGTTACACAGAGAGAGAGAAAGAGAGGCAGGAGGGGGGGGGTAGAGAGAGAGAGAGAGAGAGAGAGACAGAGTGAGTCTTCCACCAGCTGGTTCACTCCCCAGATGGCCGCAATGGCTGCAGCTGCGCCAATCTAAAGCCAGGAGCCAGGAGCTTCTTCCAGGTCTCCCACATGGGTGCAGGGGCCCAAGGACTTGGACCATCTTCTACTGCTTTCCCAGGTCAAAGCAGAGAGCTGGATTGGAAGTGGAGCAGCCAGGTCTCAAACCAGCACCCATATGGGCTGCCAGCACTGCAGGCAGTGGCTTTACCCGCTACGCCACAACACCAGCCCCAATAAAATAAATCTTAAAAAAAAAAGAGAGAGAGAGAAAGGAGGGAGTCCTTGCTTAATATGATTCATATATGCATGAATTTTAATTACTTTAAAATAACTATTTATTTATTTTAAATAAGTAAATCATTGAATGAAATAAAATTTAATTATTAACTTTAATTATTTAAGTGGTTTACTTAAACAGCACCAGGTACACAGCACCACAGTTTGAACCACTGTATGTTAATTACATTGCTGCTAGCTCTTCAGCCTACAAATCAGTAACAAGCAACAGATGCACCTCACAACCAGCAAACCAGTAAGCAATCGCTTTCTTTCAAATACTGTCAGTATCGATCCCTGTGCATCTGATACTCAGTTCACACACAGCACACCATGGTGTGGCAGCCACGTCTCTCTGTGAATAAAGCCACATGGCATTTTACAAAAACACGTACCAGAAAGCAGGAATTAGCCAACACAGATAAAGTACACTTGGTAGAAATGAGAAAATGATTATGTTGGAATGGAAATTCAAACCGAAGAGAAGTGAAGTGATAGAAGAAAGAGATGACCAGGAAAATGCTGTCATTGTCGCGGTATGAGGGCCTCTAGCCATGCCGCCAGGGGAACTTGTTAAAGGGAAACTCATCAACATCAATGAGGAAAGAGACCATGACAAGGCTGAAGGTTTCCAGACTAATATCAGTTGGGGGAAAAAACACTTCACATTAAATGATCTCCAGTAGACAGGTCATGACAGTGAAATCGGAAATCTCAACTATTTGAAGTTGATGCAGGCTTACAAAGGAGGAAGACAGATTGTGAAGCAACAGAAAAAAGATGTTCTTGGGGCCGACACTGTGGCTCAGTGGGTTAAAGCTCCACCTGCAGTGCCGGCATCCCATATGGGCACCAGTTCTAGACCTGGCTGCTCCTCTTCTGATCCAGCTCTCTGCTGTGGCCTGGGAAAGCAGTAGAAGATGGCCCAAGTCCTTGGGCCCCTGTGCTCACATGGGAGACCTGGAGGAAGCTCCTGGCTCCTGGCTGTGGCCATTTGGGGAGTGAACCATTGGATGGAAGACTTTATCTCTGTTTCTCTCTCTCACTGTCCATAACTCTGCCTCTCAAATCAATAAATAAATCTTTACCAAAAAAAAGAACTAGTATCCTTCATTTTCAGTTACAATATTTCCATATTTTGTCATAATATAGTAAAATAAGTAAAAACAATCTCAGATTAAAATGAGAGACTCCAACTCCAGATTCTTTTTTCTACATTAATACATGAAGCCACAGGACCTACCTGCAACCTTGCATTGAAAATCACTGTTCCTGTCAGAGCCTGGATTTCAGATCCTAGGAATTTTGTAAAAATCTCTTGAAGTCATTGCAATTAAATTAGAATTTTTCAGTTAAAGAACAGAAACCCCTTCCCCTCAAAAAATTATAAAACAGTATAATACTGGGAACTAGAATTTTGTAAGCAAATTAACATTTTTAATTAACCAATATTTTACCTTTTATTTTTAATCTAAATACTCTTTAGCAAAGAAGGAACACTTTAAAATTTGAGAAGGGCATATTTTTAACCTAACTAAATATTTGTCTTCTTTAAAAGGAGGGAGGCATTTTACTCCTTATTACTGAACGATAGGTTTTTATGGTCCAATAAACCGAAAATTATATTCACTATTGGCCAACAGAAAACCACAGAATAGCAAAAAACCTGTGACATGACAAGTAACTAGAAAATTATGAAAAATTGGTGAGATTAAAAAATAAGCTACAAGTCAAATTTTAAAAAGGTTCAATAATATCTCTTAAGGGGAAATAAAATCTAGGAATTCTGACAAGAAGTTTAAAATGAACATGCAATTTTTCAAATAAATTACAAATACTCAAATAATGTACACTCATTCATTAAGTCCTTTCAATGTTAACATTGCTTGCCCTAGGACAATAAATGCACTTATAAAAAAAAAGATTATTTGAATCTGAATGCACTTTTCTAAAAAGGAATCCTTACTCCTCACATTGCTGCCCTCAGCCTTTCTCTTCCTAAGTTTATGATAGCAGATCTTTCCACTGACAGCACACATATCGTAAGTGGTAAAAGGCAAGCTCTTAAATCATAAGGGATCTTTGGAAATGGACTCTACAGGATAGCGGAAATGGACTTCCAAAGCAGGTGCTCTAGAAGTTAATTTACACGGCGGAAGCGGCTCTGTGCTAAGTTGTCCAAGCCATATTGCCTAAATCGGGATTCCACGTTCTCTGTGGCTCTGATACATTTATTTGCTTGGCTTTGTTCCCTGGAAGCGCTGAATGTTTTATCTCAGCTTCTTAACGTGAGATTCAAGGCAGTCTTTGAATGGTTAATGGAATTTGAGAGGACCCAAATTTTAGAAATGCTAACCATCAGGCTTTAGAAACTATATATAATGGCTTTACACAATTCTCATGTCTCTTATTGAATATCTTCAAGGAATATATATTGGAAATATAAAAAATTATATAACTTCCACTTGTCCTCTTACTGAGAATGCTAAAGTCCTCTTTGATAATTATAAATCACTTCCGTAACTGCACTGCTATTTTATTGGAAGGAAAGTGAAATTGGATTCACAGAAGTTATCTATCGCTACTACAGTATTGAGTAGTCATAAAAATAACAGAGGGTATTTGTACTTGGACCACGTACAAACTGTATCAAGTCATATTATCTCTCATTCTCAGCTTCTTCATCAGTAAAGTGACGATAATGATAATATAATTTCAAAGGGTGAAGAGTAAAGCACGAATACACGTGAAATTAACAAATTATGCTGTGCTGTACAATCGTGAAAATACTCCTGGAATGCTTTTTATGGAGGGGGTTAGAAGGACCCCCAACCCAAGCTCCCTTGCATCCACACAACCCTAGGATACTGGTTGTGCCATGCTTGCTAGCAGGCAGGTTCTCAAATTTCTCCTGTGAGTCCATGAGGGTGAAGGGTATGTTCCCCAAGGCACTGCTCCTGTCTTGTGTGGCCACCTTCTGCCACACGACAGCCTTCTGGCAAGATTTGGGTCTTGGGGGCCAGAGGTAAGTCTTCTTCAGGCCTGGTCTAAAATGCATCCCACTGGCCTAACATTATCTTTCGTGCATATCCATCCTCCAAAACTTTTGGAAGCAGGTGAAGTTGATTTGCACCAGGATTTATTTGCTTGTGAATCTATTGTCTGACATCAAAATCTCAGAAACAAGCAACACTATGATACTGCCTAACAGAGGGGATGTCCATGAATGTTGACAGACGTCCAAGGGAGAAAGAACCTTCTAATGTGAGTTCCACCATCTAAGCTACTTTGCAACAATGTCCCTAGACCAAACACCACAAACATTCAGTCACCACTGTTAAGAGTAACATCTAGAAGCCATTCACACACAAGCCAGTGGCTCCATCCACAAAAAAAAAAAAAAAACAACAACAACAAAAAAAACAACACCCAGATTGACCCATTGTAGTTGTAATTGTGGCTTCCAGCTCAGGATTGGCCACAAGAGTAGACTCATCACAAATATTAACAGGAGCTGGATGGAGAGCTGCAAAGGATCAAGAAGAAGCCTGACAGAGAATTAAAAAGAAAAATGAAAAAAAAAAATCAAATAAGAACACAGCTTTCAAAATCTGAAAGAAATCATTCTGGAATAACTCAGAGGCATTACCACAAACAACGCATTATAACCAAACTGCTTCATGGCCCATTAATTTGTATGGTCTTAAAAAGATTCAGAGGGGCTGCTGGCACTGTGGTGTAGCAGGTTAAGCTGCCACCTGCAGCCCCGGCACCCCATAGGGGCACTGGTTCGAGTCCTGGCTGCTACCCTTCCAATCCAGCTCCTTTTCCATGCGCATGGGAAAGCAGTGGAGGATGGCCCAAGTACTTGGGCCCCTGCACGCATGTGGGAGACCCAGAAGAAGCCCCTGGCTCCTGCCTGGCTCAGCCCTGGCTTTTGAAGCCATTTGGGGAGCAGATGGAAGACTTTTCTCTCTCTTTCTGCCTCTGCCTCTGTCTGTAATTCTGCCTTTCAAATAAATAAATCTTTT